CTCATGCAGCTGGCACTGTTTAAATTAAAGTGCAGTGTCTTATTTTTTTCATCTCTTTCGATGAGTGTGTGGATGTTCTCAGAGTTGACTAAGAATAATTAGGAACCAGTAATGCTTAACAAAATGAAAATTTTAAGTAGCATTGTGTAATTAATCTCTCAAGACATTTGTGTTTAAAGCAAGAGTTTCAAAGTTCACATCAACTCAGTTAACTTGCAGGAATTAAGCTGTGAGTAGTAACCACCTTTACTTGTTCTAGTTCCATTTAAGAGTGATTAAGCCTAAAGTCTTTTTGTTTACAACCTATATGAGAGAAAAATAATTGTGAAATTGATGTTATCTTTCTTTTAATTTTCACGTGTCAGCAACATTTTTCGTTAACATCTTTAGGCATGTCAAAGACCAAAGAAAGTCATGTCAGTCTGCCAGAGGCAGAATTCACATCCTACTCCAGGGAACTTTTCTGAAGCTTTGAACAAGGAAGATGGTGTATTCAAATACATACTGCATGTTTTGAGACCATACAGCATACAAATGAAATGCTCCAGGATTATTCACATTTTGTGTATATTTTCTTGCAGAGCTGTATACTGCCTAAAGGGCAGCGATGTGTTAGCTGGCTGCTGGAACGTAGAGTAAAAGGTTTAGTAGTTAGATGTAGCAGGACTGCCACTATGTCAAGTTGCCATCCATTTATGGTTTAGATAAATTACATGTCTATTTCGCTCTTCTGGAATGAATTGTGAATAAGCTCATTGTCTCCCTATGTTATAGGGAATGAAAGTAGCTGTGGACTGGACTGCATTGAATTGGTAGCTGGAGTGCATAGCTGGTCATGTCACACAGTGTCTACAGTGGAATAATGCAAGTTCGTAGAAAAATTAGTGGTTCTTCTATCCAACTCCATAGAAGGTCACTTTGTAAGAGGGGTTGCTTTTGCAAGACTATATCCCTCTGTAATGGGTGTACTACTACCACAGGTGTCCTAGAAGTCCCCAGATATATTGTGTCCAGGGTTTTGATTCTGTGTTTGACAATCTACAATGATTTGTTCGTAGATGCTAGTGTGTTACCAGCTGGGGACAGAACAGGACTTTTCCATTTAAATTGAAACTAAATAAATGAAATTAAAGAAGACCCACTATGAACAATTTTCAGCAATTTTAATGTACTCAGAGTTAAAGATTGAAATAATCCGTATATGTTCTGAAATCTTTCTTACCGACTGTTTTGCTTACTTAAGCTCTTGGTGTATTTTAGTACATTGCTGTGCTTATATCCATTCTCTATGTTATTAATGAATATTAAATAATAGAATGCCTTTTTTTAATACTATTTAAAATATGAACCTAAGACTTGGTCTCTTGGGCCACTAAGTCAGTGCAATTGTAGCAAGGGACCATATAAACTAGCTATAAATGAGCTATAAATTAGCCCAGAACTGTCTGCTAATTTTTCTGTTGAATTATTCATATGCTGTTTAGGTTCAGTTCTAGACAGAAATTAACTCTAATAATCAAAAAAATGAACCTCAAGATAAATATAAACCTGGAGGGTATTAGCAGGTGAATAATCTGCAACTAAGTTGGCTTTTTTTTTTTTCTTTTTTTCCCCCCCAAATGCCTGGGAAGTATTTACCAGTTGCTCTGACTCCTTTTCCTAATTTTCTGCCAATTGGGATGCCACATTATAAAAATATCAGGGAGGGATAGATTTTGTTATGGAACAAGCCTTTTTGTTGGCAGTGTGTTAGCTGACTTCTAGCCCTGACAACTTCTTGTGTGAACATGGGTGTTGCACACGTCACAGTGAGCAGACAGGTTTCTGAATTTTGGCTTTTTGTCTGCAGATCTCAAGAACATGTAAACAACTGATTTCCTCACTCATTTTTAGCACTCAGCTAGAGGTAATGCTTTGTACATAGATTTTTCAAAAGTCCTTTCCAAAAGAAACAGATCTGACTCGTGGTGCCTCGTTAGTGGAGTATTTTGGTAGCATGCTTCTTTGGTGGCCTATCTTGTTTGGGTTTGATAAACCTTTTTTTCTTGTCAACTGAGATGACGTAGTATTAAGGAAAATTGTTTTGTCCTCCAGCAGTAGGGAATGTAAGTGGAGGAGACAGGTCTGCTATTTTTTACCTATTTGTTTATTTATTTTCATGGAGAATTGTATATTTTCTTATGGCAATTGTCTAATTGCCTAGTTTTTCTTTCTGGGGAAAAGTCTTTATAGTTACTCTGATGTTTCCACTTATTTATGCTGCTCTGTTGTTGATTATCCATGTTCTTGAAATCTTTCTTGCCTTGTGCTTTTTTACAAGAGTGAGGATGAGGAAACAAACTGTAAGCTAACACCGTGGAGTATTGGCTTGTAAGTGTTACCGCAGTGCAACTAAGCATTAGCAAATAGAAATTGTCCAAATTAAATAGTGCTCTCAGACTAAAGCAGAATCTCAGATTCTTTAAGAAAGGCACTAAAGACAACATGACTAGGTAGATTCACTCCAGACCTAGGCAGCAGAAACTTGTCGTGTTGTTTTTCCGTAAATATCTCAAAAGTTATTTCTTGGGTTTTCCAGCTATGCAAGGAGCAAAAACATCATAGAATCATAGAATTGTATCAGCTGGAAGAGAGCTAGAAGATCATTGAGTCCAGCCTTTGTCCCAGCCCTATCAACCTATTCAACGATTTCCCCCAATACAACATCCACTTGTCATCCGCTGAGTTCACAGAGACATCGAAAGTGATGTAACACACAGCCAATGTTTCAATACAATGAAAACCAAGACAGGTTTCTTCTGAATTAATAAATAGTTCTTAGTGACTGTTTCCTAGTCTGATAATTTTAACTGTACTTGCTCAGAACAATCCAACAAACACGAAACAGTAATGCAACAGCTTCTACAGGTTTGCATTGGTAGATCATGCAGCAGGCTGGCGTGTATCTCATCAAATGCTTTCTTCTGTAGTAACAGCAATATTCTTCTGTATCTCTGGTATGTCATGCTTTTATGCTCAACGATTCAGTTTTGCCCCTCTGGGACTATATATGCGTGCTGCGTGTATTTGCATGTTCATATAACTGCTTTCATGTCTTAGAAGGGCTTCTATTCAATTTTCTAAATTAGTATTAAGGGTATTGTGGATTTATGAATTATATACATTGAACAGCAGCTGTTCCCAAACCTCAGCATTCTGTTGTCTGAGATTTTAACAGGGACTTTTGGGTCATTAAGTTGAAGGACAATAATTCTATTGTTTGATAATCCAGTTATTTTGTGCGTCTGGCTTCATCAAAGAGATTCTTGTGTTTCAGAGACCAGTGTTTTCTGTGCTTGTCTTCAACACTTGTTAAGTTTGACTCTACAATATCTCGGGAAAATAAATCTGCTTCAAATTCCTAATGTGATACAACTACTCATAAAGGACTGGGCTTCTTTCGTAATCAGATACTTGTGCTGTGTAACACTGCACTGGAGGGAAACCTGACTGATTGCAGTGGTCTGTTGAAGTGCCATTTACCAGGGCCCATTGGCACCTGGCCCACAGGAGTGGTGTGATGAACTGCTACTTTTAAAACTGAAACATTAGTTGTTCCTTCACAATCGTTTATCTTGCAGCATTAAATTTGGCTTGTCTGCATTACAGGGCTCCTCTTTGGGAACAAACAGAGGCTGATACTGGGAAAGGATTTACATTTGCACCCAGGTATCACTGGCAGGTTCAAAGCAATGTCTGCAGAGCAGACGGGAGGCTATTTTCCCAAGTTTAAGAAAATAATTTTTTTCTTGCAGCCAAGTACAAAGTCTGTATTTTCCTTACCTTACCTTTTTCACGTTTCCATCCTGATAAACGATACCGGTGGCCATTCCAAATACTTTTTTTTTTTTTTTGTATTTAATATGCACTAACCTTAAAGACATTTGTGTTCGCTGGTGTTTCTTCATGGCTATTAACTTGTGGTTCTTCTTCACATACTGTTTCTGGGAATAGACTTGTGGAATATTTTGAGGATTCTGTTAGAGATTTTCTCGCAATATAAATAGATAGTATCTTACTGAACAAAAGCCAGCTATCATTGCCAAATAGGAGGGAAAGGAGTTGGTCAAAATAATGTGTGTTGTGTTTCATTACTTGTTGCTTGCTTTTGCTTGTTGCTAACTTGTTGAATAAAACGAGACAGGAATGTAATGAAGCACCATTCATTTGGGATACATGGTTGAAAGCCTAACTAAATTTATTAAGAGTCTTCCTTGCTTCCTCTTCTGCCCATTATGAAAGAATATTTTAGTTTAGCCCTTAAGTGTCCTGCATGCTTCAGAACAAAGGAAACTTTAACTTCATGCTGTAACTGATAAAGAATTTTACATAATTGCATTTGTTTTATTAAATAATAGAGATGTCCCTGACTTCACTGGCAGCACAGATGAGCATCTAGAGTTTGGCAAGGAAAGTTTCAGTATTTTCATTAGAGTTGTCAGCAGAAAATGTTGTAGCTATCAAAATATTAGCATGGGAAAATATGGAAAGGGTGGTTAAGGGCAGAGGCAAATTCTCACCTACCATCTTTATACGGTTAGTAAAAAATATGTATGTATTATATGTATTTAAACAGCATAAATGTATTTGTATATGTAAATAAGTAAAGTAAAACTTTACCATCTCCATAAAAGACCCTACGCCTTAGGTCTTTCACACTGTCACTGTATGGACTAATTTTGCTTCTTTTATTGAAATACCACCCACTCCTATCTGCTCAGAAGCCCAGCGCTGACCAGTCTTCTGTTTTGTTTTCTGCTGAGAACAAGACGTCATCATTTCTGACCCTTTTTAGCAAGCACAGAGACTTCTGTTTCTGTTTAAGCAACACTAGGGTCATCCATAATTTTCAAGTGCTAGTTTATTTGCTGCCAGTGACTTGTTTGACTAAGAATAGTGTTTTCTCATTTTCTTGGCTAGTTGTAAAGCTCCCTGATTTCTTGCTTGCTTTTATTCCACAGGATGTTTCATGTAAGGGAAATGTGGTGCTATCACTGGAAATGGAAGCTGCATCACTATCTCTGCTTGTTTACCACATATATTATATGCATGCAGCAAGCAGGTAAGTCAGCAAATTATCTTCTCACTTAAATAAATGTTCTAGGAGCAAAGGTTTTTTTAACTAAGGTTTGAGCTTACATATGACAGAATTATATACAATATAATAGTTTGATGAAAGTGACGCATTATATATTATTAGTTGTGATTTGATAGGCTGGTCATTTTCTGCTACTGCTGAATTTTTCATTTTGCTCTTCCTTTCCTTTTACCTTCTTAATACCTACCCTTCTTTTGAATTTCATCTAATTGTTGAAATACTGTGAGTAATCATATAGGTTTTTCAGTTTCCATAGTACTGTTTGTGCCTGTAGTTTATGTATTCAGTAACCCCTCACTTTAGTTCAAAGCTGTAAAATAACTAGTGTGCTTATTATTTTTAAATGCTTTTATGAGTCAAATAATAGAAACATTCCTCAGCAAGCTATGTGTACATAAGATAATCATATACTGTAAAGAACAATCAGTTTAAACTTAACATCATCTTGGTCTGTAGTGACACTTGCATAGAGAGTAATGAAACTCTTTTCTTTAAGTGTATGAATGAGAGATTTCATTTACCAGATATCTTTTCCTAACCACTAGAGTGCAAAATATTTTAGGAGCTCCAGCTGCTTTACTGGAAAAAAAACTCTGGAGTTTATTCTGGAGCATATGAAAATTTTGGAGCAGCTTGTAGTGCTCTGCTAATTTCATATCAGGTGGGTAGTTTCGGTGTTACAGACTTGCCATTGGAAAAAAGATGGTTTATATATAGAGAGACTTTCTAGTTTTTTTGATTTTGTTTTTTCTCTAAACAAAAAGTGCAGGGTTGTTTTTTTTAAGCTTCACTTTTTATTTAGAGAGGAAAAAAAAACAATGCAGAAGCTGTGGAGTAGCAGTTTCCAGCTTCATGTCACTTTAGGAGGTGTTTTCCTTTTTCATTAAATTGTGTAGCCAGAAATGTATTTAGGACCTGACTCTTACTTATGACTCCATTGGCTAGTGGCCTTTGCCACCCTGTGTTCCTGGGCCATGCAGCTGCCGTCCTCAGCATAAAGTAAATCAGCAAAAACTGCTCTAATGTACCGCTGCTAGGGGCTATTCACTGGTGACTAGAATATTGACCTAAAGACCATTAGTCTTTGCTAATTGCTTTTGATAAACATTTAGTTATTGGTAGTGCAGTTGACGCACCATGAATAAATTCCACAAGCCAGAAGGTCCCAGCGAGTGTGCTGAGAGGACAGAGAAAGCCAACCAGGATCTTCACCTTCAGTGCCTTCAGCTGATCGAAGTATACCAGTGCTGTCTGTGCTGGTACTGAACAAGTAGGTGGGTCAAAAGCACTGTGCCGAACTCCAAGATACACTTCCACTAAATCATTTATGCTCCTGGCTAACTACTTCAGCAACAAAGCAGATGATGCCATTGGAGTGGTAAAAGCAGACAAAATGTTCTAGCTAGTTCCGTCTCCTTTAGCTTTACTGTCTCTGCTTTTTTCTCAGGCACTGGTTTGGTGTGTAGGCGACTCAGAGCCAGGTGTCTGATGGAAATCAAAGCAGAGAACTAAACCTGAGTCTTTTACATCTCAAGTGTGTGCCTCTGAGAGCTTTTTCTCTCTTGCTTTGACTGGAAGAGATTTGAAATCTTCAAAACTTTCAGTAAATGGAAAAGACATTTCCCTATCTGCCTGAATGATGAGTAGATAAATAAGGTATACTGGAAACACCCAGATTCCATAGACAAATGTTTGCTTTGCAACAGTGAAAGAGATCATAAACAGTCAGAATCATAGAATGGCCTAGGCTGGAAAGGACCTTAGAGATCATCTAGTCCAACCTCCCTGTCATGGGCAGGGACGCAACCTCTTGACTAGACCAGGCAACACATGGGGACAGAGCGGGAATTGAACCCGCGACCTTGGTGTTGTCATTGTTCTCAGCACCACACTCAAACCACTGAGCTAACCGGCCCCAGTCTGCTGTTAATACTCAACTGAAATGAGAATGAGACATTTACCTTTACAGCAGCCTGCCATTTGGCAGTACTTGCCTGCAAACCCTCAGGGGTCATGTTTCTCTGTGTTGATGTAAAAGCATAGGTTATGCTGCAAAATGGAGTCTTTTCAGCTGTTCTTTTTAATAGAGCAAGGCAGATGAGGTGGGAAATACTGCTGCTCCGCATTTTTTATTTTGTGTTTTTAAAAGGTATTGATTGTGGATTCATATAGTATCTATAATCTCTTTTGATTTATGCTTTGCCTAGAAAACGTCACATACAAACGAGGGATTAAGATCATCAGGTACAGGTTTTGTGGATTATTTAAGAGGCTGTTCATAAGGATAAAAATATCAGTCATGCTGCGACATGGGAAAAAATGTGAAAGTAATAATTTTTGTAATTTAACTTGAGAAGAACGAGAGGACTTGGCCTGCTTTCAGAAACAAAGCTTAGGAGAAGAATTACACAGCAGAAAACTTAGGAGTGAGAAGGTCTGTGAAAAGAATGTTTAGCCACAGATTGATCAGTAAGGTACTGACAAAGCAAGTGCAGCAGTGGAGTGTAATACAGGTCTGATAGACGGATCAATGAATGGACTCTGACACTTAATCCAGGTAGACAGAACAATATTCTAAAAAATAAAATATAAAATATAACCTACTTAGCTAAAATCTGAGCAGACGTAACTGTTTCGGCATACTGGCTTCAGGTTATGTGTTGTGACATGAGGTGAAGTTACGGAGCAGCTGAATACACAACTGGACAGGTTTCTGTTCCTGTCTGGGGCAGGCGTCCCTGATTGCCTCAAGTGAGTCATTTAGCTGTGCCTCAGTTTCCGTGCCTGTAATGATGAATGTATGTTTTGCCTACCTCGTAAACAGCTTGCCCCGCCTTCCGTTGAAAGGACTGTATGGGAGCTGAGATTTTAGAATGGTGATGTTTTAAAGAGAATTAGTTAAATCTGCTTTTAACTGAGATTCTGACATTCGTAACTTTTCATTTGTATGTACATTTCATTGCCTTCAGTGAGCCCAAAAGCGAACAAAAAGAGTGGACAGAGTTCTGGAAAACAGAACTAATGAGGGCAGATAGAACAAACTGAATTTTTTTTTTTTTTTTGATCTGGAGTAGGCAGAAGGAGGAATGCAGAAGAACTGAGAATATTTAAAGAGATAGCTGCGGCGGGAAGGGATAGACTGATCTTTCTCGGCAGTCAAAGGGCAAAAAGAATGGGCTTAAATTACAGCAAGATTAATAAGGGGAGGACATCTCCATCAAAAGGTAAAGATAGCAGTGGAATAGATTGCCCAGAAAGACTGGGAATATCAGTGCTCGGGAAGGTGTAGGTAATATCTGCCAGAAATGGTTTAAATGTATAGCCCTCTTTCCTTGGGGCTGAGAAATACGTTAGATGATTTCCAAACCTCCCTGATTTCTGTAGTGCTTCCTTAAACTTTGTCCATTTTGGTTCAAAATATGGTAAATGAGGGTATCTGTTGGAAGCTGCATTTCTCGAAATATGTCCGTGCTGTGCCTACAAAATTGCGTTGGTGTTTTTCCCATCTCAGCAGCCTCATTTTTATCTGACATAAGGAAGCAACAGTTCAGTATGGAAAGTAAATAGCACATGCTTCAGGTGTGTGTAACCTCACAAAAAAAGTGTTCAGTTTAGTCTTCCCTTGCTTTTTGGCTTTTCTGCTCTCATAGCAAAATATCTAATGTTTCAGTATTGTGCTCTTGACTGTACTCTCTGTGGTAATCCAGGAGTAGAACTGGAGCGGTTTTTTTGACCTTACAAATGGATTTCAGTTTGTGTAACTACTTTCCAATCTAGTTTTCAAGTGTCTTGACAGTAGTGGACTTCCAGGGTTTTGAACTCTTGTACATTTAGAGGAGGTTGCAGCATCTGTCATTAATAGATACGTAATTATGTAAGAGTCACTAGCAGGTTTGGATTTTGACTGCCATGCAACCATATTTAGTTTTATTCAGGATGTGGAAAATATTTATTTTAATAAAGCCATGAGTACATCTACAATTTTTATTACACTATTTCTGCCTTATGCCCCATACTGCAGTTGTCACAGACTTGCTATGACTGTAGCTAGTGCCAAAGCATTTGTTCTTTTGTTCATTCATCAGTAAAGTGCATTGGTGTCTGTATTCATGTTTCCATGTCCTCAAAGGGCTTTAATTGGTTCCCAAGAGCTCACCAAAGAGTAAGTTTCAATTTTATTACAGTCCCTGAAATTTTAATTTAATTAGATTTTTTTTAGTGGCGATTTGAAGCAAAAATTTATGCTGTTTTTAATTCATCAAGAAAAAGGTAAGAAAAAAGAATAAAACTGAAAGTAGGTCCTTCACCCATATGGCTGGCAGTGGTTTCCAATACAGAATCATCTCTGCCCATCGTGCTCCTTAGTTGGGCCTGTGTAGATAAACGAGAGATTAAAGCCCTCCCTGGTTTATGGGAGAATTTTAGAGCTGAGCAGCCTGATGCGAGATGGGAAGGGAGTATGCTCATGCCACCAGTGCTAGTAGCAAGAGTTAGTCACGTTGCCATCTGTGAAAATGGATTGGGTTTTATCTGGAATGGCCCAAGTCAGGAAGTGTGTTTTTTCACCGCAGATCTGAAACTGCCTGCCCCAGATGAGGGCCAGAGATCCTATCGCGGAGCGAATGATGAAGTTGTTGTCAGCACATTCCCTTATCTTCCTTTCGCTTACCGTGTGTGCAGCAAGAACCACAGTGCCAAGACGTTAACCCAGTCAGTCAGCACAATCCTCCTGTACAGCAAGGCGACAGGGCTTGATTTTATAACATTATTACTGGCGCTTCATGCAGCTTCTCCCATGGCATCCTTGCGGTGGCGGTGGGTCTGTGTATGTTGCTGAGCAGGGTAAATGTGACTGAGAGTGCTGCCCCTGACTTGAGCATGGAAATCCACATTTCTGAAGTCGCAGAAAAACTTAAAAAGCCTAAAGTCTGAAAAAAGTATTCAGTCTGGCATCTCTTTCCTTA